TCGACTCATTCTTAATATTAAGCAAAACATATTTATTTATTAAATGCGTGCAGGGTCTGGACGATACATCAAGAGTTTCCATTGTATTGTATAAGCCGTGAATGCTCGGAACATGACATATTCTGTGAATTGCAGTAGCAATAATATATATTACTATGTATATTTTATATATGTATGCACATTGCATATTGATTGTCGTACAGATAAAGCGATGACAGCAAATATTATTTGGTTGGTCCGCCTCTCATTGTCGAAGGTGTGCCATCTGCTATTGTACTATTGTACTATTGTGCGATATTTTACTACGATATTATTACTGCGATATCATTACTACGATATTATTACTACGACATCACTGCCAATATATCGCTCTATGTGCTCTATGTGCTGGCTGCACCTTTATTATTACTCCTGTTGCTCTCGTTTTCGTCTATGTTTGCCTTGTCCTGCCATCAATCATGCATTGGCTGCACTAGACAATAGATTCATTTTTTTTATCATGGTTAGAGTTCTGTCATTCTAACGCACTAAACCCGATGTACATGTATTGATATGCACTTCAACATCACTTGTTAAAATGTACGAGTAAAGATGGAAAGTGTTCTTATCATCAAGACCTTTCATCTGCATAATCCTCTGAAACATGATTACGAGCATATGTTTGACACACATTCCCACAGAAAAGTGACAGGTTGAGAAAAAATGGCGATGGAATACGATAAATAAATATGGTCAAGCTTATTATTGATAGGCTGCCTGTCAAGTGGCAGTACTTGGAATGTAACAAAGAGTACATCATGCGAATGAGCAAGTACAATACATTTTATCTGTTATCTATAACATTGCATCATCGTACGAACAGTGATCAACCATATATCAAGCATACAAACGTGTTTGACATCGAGTACATTGTCGATACGAACCTCTTCGGTCCATCGTGCAGTGCATCTAACAACTAAAACTACACTCCACTCCCACAGTAACAGCTCGTAACAGTTTGCACACACACAATTCACAAAATCCCTTACCAACACACTGTTCTCTCGTCATCGTAGAACCCCCCCTTTTCCCTTCTCTCTCCATTATTATTTTACCACTAACCATATTCACCCTCTGATCAGCTTCGGTCCAGAAGATTGTCTGCATCCAGTAGAACACAACAGTGGTGGCATTCTATTTCTGCAGAGCCTCCCTATTATCTCCCTTATTACTAAGCCCACAGACCATATCATCGTACGCACAATGGCTGGTGGGAATATATGTGTAGGACGAAAGAGAACGGTATCCGTTGAGTGAGATGTATCAGAATGAATGGATATGCTATACAGCTTTCGGTCAGTTAGTAAAGCACATGCACAGTAACTTGTATTGTCTGTGTGACACACTAATTATATCATACGCAGTAATCATCTATCATATCCGTCACCTCATTGTCTACAATCCATTGTCCCCGAACACCAATTTTTTGTGATCTCCGCTGTCATCTCTCATTAATGGTACTCTAAATGGGTTGTGAGAACAAATAGGAGTAAAGAGAGGGAAAACAAGGGGTTTTGAAGTTGAAGTAATGCAACGGATTTTAGCTGGCAAATTATGTAAAGTGGTCAAAGTTCTGGGGAAAAGAGAGGGGAGGGGAGGGGGGAAAGATGCACATGGGAGACAGGGGAGAGATGGGGGAATGGCGGAGGGGTGGGAGAATATGTGTATGCGTTGCGTATGTATATTATGTGTATATGTATATGTGTATGTGTATGTGTATGTGTATATGTATGTGTATATGTATATGTGTATATGTATGTGTATACGTGTGTGTATGGTGCGAGTGTTTTGTCAAGAGGAAAAAAAACCAACGTCTCATTATTAAAAGTGTGTGACAATAAATACTGTATACCGTATATGCTTTATCTTGTAATTATATGATCTCATTTGGGGGGGAAATGTTAAAAATAAAATACAATCTTGTGTCAACTGTCAATGTCAAAGTCGATGTCAAAAGTATATTTGGTTGTTTGGTTGTTACATGGATAATTAAAGGTAATGCAATGTTATCTAAATAAAAAAAAATTTCTTTCTTTTTTTCTTTTTTTCCTTTCCCCCCTCGACACAACAACCCTAATTACAATAGTCTCCTTTTTTACGACAAACCTTTCAAAGAAACAACCCACACTTTCCCTTCCATATCTATCGATTGCCCGCCGTACTACACAAATGACACTTAACGTGTGACATTTGACACCCCGCCTGTACTACTCTGAACCCCCAATTATTAGAATGCCGATGTATTTCCCCACACAATCGAGAATGAGATGAAATTGTCTCCTAACAAACAAATCACAAACATGCACAACGGAGATGTCGAGTATCAGGAACAGATTAGGGATAATTTTAGGAGGGAAATGAACTGTAAATATAAAAGATGAGAAGAAAAGAGTGAGCGTGAGGAAAGGAAACAACAGAGAGAATTAATGCGATAAACATATGTGTGCATTATGATATTTATGATACAGATAACCGTCCTTGTCGCTACAAGCGTCATTGTATATCAAAGCATAGATTGTTATAATATGTAATCCAAATTAGTACATGTTTGTTTGTATTTTGACGCCTACTGTCATAAGAATCCGGTATTTTGAAACACTCTTCTTGTCAAAGCCGCTGTTGTTTGTGGTAAACAAGTGCGATGGCGGCAACTCTAGGGGTTGATGCAATTAACCCATTAATAATAACAATAAGAAAATGGGCGGGAAAACCGATGCATGTTGATGGCTGCAAGAGGAAGAAAAAAAAGAAAAAAAAGAAGAAAAAAAAAAAACAAACTCTAAACAATAAACAAAGGTCGTATATTTTACAGTATATGTTGCTTACTCCCCTTACAATGATTGTTGGCTGAGGGAAAAAAAAAACAAAGTTGTTTCATTTGTGACCAATCGTCCCTATCATTCTGGCGCCAATTTTTATTTTTGTCTTACAAACTCTTTTCAATCTATTAAAATAATAAATATTTTATACTGGGGTTTCTGATGTAGATGATCTGGTTGTGTTTAGTCATCACAAAACTTAATATCATTATTCTGACAGCGCTGAACGTCATGAGGTCCAACTTGATAAGCTTTACACTTAAATGCCTACAGCCTTGTATCCACTTTCCCCCTAATTTTATTCTCGTCGTACACAAGGGCAATTGCATTTTATATTCTTATCTCCGAGTATGTAGCTGGAATTGTTAAGCTTGGCGGTTGTGCTGCCAGCAGAGAATTTATTCGTTCAAGATTACGATACCATTCATTTGCCCTGTTGTCCCGTTGTTATTTGACGGTTTACTATGTTGGCTTCTTCTTCTTCTTCTTGATGGCAATGACACGTACAACATAATGACTTGTAACTGCTTGGGTAGATGACGTGAATTAATCTACCATTCATTCCGAACGTCTTTTTCACACAAGTGATTATTTGTGTTTTTTGAATTAAAGGCTGCTTGTCGACATGGAATAAAATTAGTGTTGCTCTTTTTACACTTGAAAGAACGCTCGATTGTATCGTTAATAGAGATCTTGTGAGTGGTGGGTTAATAGGGAGCATTTTAATTCTCGTCATATCAAAATCAGAAAATCTTTCTGTAATACATCAAGTCTTCTCACAAAAAAATCTGTCAGCGAACAATATCATGCTCTGGGAGTGTGCTAGGCGGGTTTTGATAATGTTTTACATTTTAGAACGGGTGGTGATTTCCAAGTCGTTCTCGTACTTCATAGCACAAATCCGAGATTCGGCAATTGTTGCTATTGGCTGTCTTGGTCGAATGGTTGGTTAAAAGTCACTGGTGAAACACATCAAAAATTGACAGCTCAATCTTCAATGTCGTACCGAATTTGTGTTCTAATAGAAAAAGGTAATGCTGTTAAACTCGTTAAGAAAAGGGTGTTCTGCGCTAACATGTGTGTGTTTTATTGCGTGCTTGCCATCAAGGGCGATATTGTATTACGAAGGAGTGAAAGATGACGTATAAATTATGTAACGTTATTTACTGAATGCGCATAAGTTTACTCTGTCTGGAATGAATCACTTATGTCATCTAAAAGGCAACTATAAACTTTTCTATCACGAAGACGACAGCCGCCCAATGTAATTTGGTTAACATTTAACGCCGAGCGCATGTTTGGTTAATAGAAATACAAAGGATTTAATGCACGGGAATAATTGGAAATCAACCATTGTCGGGAGAGCTTGCATGTATAACAACAGGGTCACTGAGTTGAGGTACTTCCAATTAATGCGTGATGTCATAATCATGTGTTTAAAACAACAAATTTTAGTACTAACCCAATTATATTATGTTGAGTAATAATATCACCGAATAAATAGCATACAGTTTAGTAAAGCGAGGTTACGTTGGTTCAATAAAAAGTATACTCGATAATAAAACGGTTCAGAACATCCTATCACATAATTCATTAAGCAAAAGAAATGCTAAATCTGAAATGACATGAGGAGAATGTCTTTCATACTTGACCTAAAAATCCCCTTTGCAAAGGGCGGCTGTACTAGTATTGTTTGTGTTAAACCAGTTTCTGTTTCGAGGTGACAATTTTCATACAGTCTAAGAGTCTACGTGTTAATCTGTTCAGTAAAGGTTGCCGTGAAAGCATTGAAGAGATTCAAATCGCGAAAGTAAGGAGCCGATAGCTCGGATTCGATGAATATCGTATTTCGGTAATGGTGAGATGTGACGGACTGTCGAGATTAGAGACTACACAATTCGCTTCTAAGACAAAGACTTGGTATGTTTATCTCGCACAATATTTTATGTGAATGGTTAATGAATAAATAAATCTTGCCTTCGGCATACCAATTGATAATGTCTTCAGATTATTCTGTTATCGAAAAGTATGTCACAGGTGAAGCGTGTAACATAACATTCATGTGACTAAGTGTCAAAATAGATCAGATCTCTATCCACTTTATATTTAATATCATTTGTCTCGCTTTGCTCAACACATACAATGCCACTCACTGCAGTTGCACAGTATTGTGGTACGGCAAATGTTGCTGCTAACATCGAAACATGCTTTAAACTTATGAGAGATGCCGTCGTTAAAGGTGCTCAGGTACATTATATGCGAGAGACGCAATCCTCCCATATTATTTCAATGTAGTAACCGCACAATGAACAGATGGTATTCTTTCCAGAAGCATCTGATTTTATAGCATCAAATACCAAAGAGACAATTGAACTGACAAAGGCTCATTCGAAGTCTTTTGTTGAGGATATAAAGAAAGAAGCTAGGAATCAGAAATTATGGGTATCCATTGGAGTGCACGAACAGGTGACATTTAAATATATGTATATGTATAGTATTTATAATATTAATTTTGTATTGTCTTATTTATAGAGTTTATCGCCTATTAAAATATATAACACTCATTTGATTATCAACGATGATGGAATAGAAATCAGCAAATATCGTAAATTACACTTGTTCGACGTCGACATTAAGAATGGCCCCGTTATTCTGGAAAGCACTGGCACAGCTTATGGAGAACAAGTAATTAACCCTATTTCAACCCCCTTGGGGAAAGTAGGGATGGCTGTATGTTATGATTTACGGTTTCCAGAGTTGTCAACCGAGTTGCGTAAGAGAGGAGCCGACATTCTGACATATCCATCCGCATTCACTGTAAAGACTGGACAGGCACATTGGGGTAATTACACAACTGCCAAAATCTATCAGAGAGTGGTATATGGTTAATCAAACACCCGTTATTATTATTGTGTTTAGAAATATTACTAAGAGCAAGAGCGATAGAAAACCAGACATATGTCATTGCAAGGCAAGCAATTGCACGTTTTCATGATTAACTTATAGTTATTGCTATGTTGGCCACTAATCTAATTGCGCAATAGTGCTCACATCGGAAAGCATAATGATAAAAGAGCAAGCTATGGTAATGCTATGGTAAGTAAGGCTGGAGATTGGTTTTGTGAAGACATTAAGCAGTATTTCACGCCCTGCGAATTTATTTTCGTAGATTGTGGATCCATGGGGAACTGTTCTTGCGAGATGCCCAGAGACTGTAAAACCCAGTTTAGCTTTTGCAGATATTGATTTGGATAGATTACACCAGATTAGAAGAGAAATGCCAATCATGGATCACAGAAGGGTTGACATATTCCCTCATCTGGCATCATAAGAGTAAATACACAAAGGAGCCGCCTAACTTACATAGGACCTGGTTTTTTTTTTTTACATAAATTATTGACATTGTGTAATTGGTATTGTAATATACATTAAGTGTGAATAAGAATTACTTGACACTTTAAACCCAATCAGCCATCTAGAAAGATTTTCGCCTTATCGATTGTATTTATCAACAGTGTGCATCCAAGATAAAGTATACAGTACAGTATATGGAATATGCGATTAGCAAACACGGCATTTAGAAAGAGATTCCTGGAATTCAAGTACATATTAGCCCCAAACGCAAAATGTGCCCGTGTTGTAATAATAGTACTGTCGGTATTCACATTGAAGATAAAAAAAAAAGATTATTGGCCATAACATAAGAAGCATAGTATGTGCGAGAACTTTATGAACCTCCTCGTGCGTACAATAATCGCACAAAAACATTTACCAAAGCCACCATTAACTATCTTCACTACTACTACGTTTTTGAAAATGTAAGAAAAAAGTCAGATAATAGCAATAGTTAACAAAAGCTGACTCGGCGGTATTATCTGATGAATCAGAAATGAATCACATAATACATCTTCTTTGATTAGTGCTCGTTTTTGTCGGCCTCTGAGAACTCCATATCCAGATTTTTTGTGTATGATATTACCTTAAAGTAATCTCATCTTGAACACTGTGAATGAACATTCCACGAAAACCTATCCGGTGTAACACTACTCTAATATGATTTCAGAAAGCCGTTGTTTCACCGTGTGCTTCAATAATAAGTTATTGTAAAAAGCTTGGTCGATTAATATACTGTGACTAAAGAGTATGTAAAGATAAGAGCTACATTTAATTAAACTCATAATTACAATGAGCTTCACGTTGGCTTAGACTAATAATATTTATTAGTTGTGAACCCACCGAATCTAACGCTTTTTAGCAGGTACAAGTATCCCACCGCCCCTAGCATACAGGTTTCTAATCGTTTTTTTATTATCTGCAAGACTCGTCTCTCCGTGTTATTTGGGTGTGTAATCGAATTAGAAAAATTGTTATTACGCATGCTGCAGTTAGTCCTCAAAATTAAAGAATTAAAAGAATTAAAATCTGTATTAATCAGTATCATCGTGTCGCATCTGCAACAATAAAAAAACAATACAGCGGTGGGATACCTATGCCCGCTACTGTAACTATTCAAGAGGTCAGTTTTTCTATTTTATTACTGCATGCGGATGCCACTTTTTCCTAACTCGCGAACTACAGTATTCCAATCTAAATTCTTTGTGACAATCGAAGTTAAGAGGCAGCTAATCAGTATCGAGAGTTGCATATACAAGATCGAACGTAAAAGTCGTGAGTATAGAAACCCACTTTAAGATCACTAATCGATAATTATAGGTTTGGCGGAGTAGAGGTATTGCCAATTCATTTGAAAAAGGTTAACTGCTGCCAATCGCTCTCCCATGGTAATTGGCTTGACTATCTTCACACAGTAACATGATTGGACATTTCGTAATGCAAGTAAGTGCATGCTGAAGCTTGGTCCCTTGGTCTCACTGTTGCTCAGAAATAATACCAAGTGTTTGTATTCGGTAAATGAATGGACAAAAGTGACGCTATAATAATAGGTGATACTCAGTCGCTTGATTTTCAGCAGATAAATTATTTCCCGTGTAAAATAATGCAAATAGTATTAAGTATACATTGCATTGATTGTTGTAATGGTTATATTGCTTACTCAAATGATTACCCGGAGATGATAATGATTGGATAATCGGAATCACTCAAGAGCCATCTACTTGGGAATATTATTTGGTTTTCTACCATAAAAACGTCCAATATTGAACAGAATTATACAACGTTATGGATGTGGATATATGCGGTATGCCGACTTTTATGAACTCAAAGAGATCAAATTTTAAGATCAGATTCGGTGGTTATGGAACGGTTTATACAATACTGCCAAATATAAAAAGTATTTAGAAAAATGTATGCGAGAAAAAACTGTTGTACTAAAGCGCCTTAAGAGAGCTATGATCAGACGCCGGAATTATTTACTAACGAGGATAAGCAATCCTTGGCAGTATCAATTAAAGGCATATTTAATCTGACTCTGTATTATTTAATAGTTCAGAAATCGTAAACGCAAGTATTCATTCTATGGAGTCACACAAGTACCAAAAGAGTACATGATTGCTATGCAGTCTTGTCTTATCTGGATCAAAATATTAAAATTGACGTAGAGATTAAATAATACATTGTGTGTTGTGATGGAAACATAGTTTTGCAGGACAGCACGTGTGAGATAGAATCCTACATATGCGATATTGTGAGTAGACTACGACCAACGAAACGTGGGGTGGTCGAAAAGTCTTGCGCGTCTAAATTTATTTCGACTAATCCAATAAATAACCTACAAAACTATTATGACATTCCTTCAAAGTACTCTCCCTCTACCTCTATACATTTTTTCAGCCGATTCCGCCACGAATCAAATGACTTGTAATATTCCTCTTTAGGGACATTCTCAACGATTGCCTGAATGGCACGTGACAAGTTTTCGACATTATCGAAACTTCTTCCACCCAGTTCTTTCTTGATTCCGGGGAATAAGTAAAGTCACAAGGAGCTAGATCTGGACTATATGGAGGATGGGGAAGAAGTTTAACTCGTTCTTCCCTGAGATATTCGGTGACAGCTGCTGACTTGTGTGGCGCAACATTGTCATGATGCAACATGACATCTTTTACGGTATTTCTCCATAAAATTCGAAAAAACTTTGGGCAAAATTTGTTTTCTATAAAGTTCACCATTAACCGTCCTGCCTTTCTCAACAACAATTCTGGCTATTACGCCATCCACAGTATAGAAAAAGCAAAACATTCTCTTTTCGAATTTTGCGCAGTCCTAACAATCTGCAGTCTATTTCTAACCAAACCTTATTGCTTTCTTTGCTCGAAACGGTGAAGAAATACATCCATGTTTCATCCCCAGTAATGATGTTATTATAGCCTTTTTTGAGTACTTCCAACAATTGCTTCGAAATTTCCACTCGTTTTTTTTTATGGTCTGCCGAAGGCTTGTGAGGAATCCATTTTGCACAGACTTTGTGCAGGTTGAGTTCATTATGTAAAATATAAGCAATTCTATCATGCGAAATACTATAATCGGGAATTTACCATCCATGTCGCACAACCTGCCAGGTCGAATATTATGGGGGTTATCAGTAGATCCTCCCTGTTTAATTCAGTTGTGTTCAATTCTCTATAATCTCCACTCTCTACAATCACCCACCCATTATACACATATTTGATTAATCCCTAGCTTCTTTATCATCTCTCATGTACTTTCGTAGATAATGTTAAGACTAGCTCTAGCGTGAAAATATCTTAAACGGTATTATTATCATATTATGTATTCAAATTGTTAATATCGATATTAGACATTTGTGGGAAAGCTTAAATCAATATCATAAACGAGCTAGGATTCGAATCCAAGGCGCAATCAAAGAAAATGTTATTATCAAGCGTCAGTCTGCGCTAGTTTATCGATTCAGTTAAATGGAACATCGACCAATATTATCCAAACAGTACGATATGCGTCAAATAAATATCGCTAGTACTAGAAACACAAGTTATGTTGTTAGAAATCAATTATTTGTACTCGATACCATTGAATCATACGATTAAATTGTATTACAATTAAGAATTGACATTGGGTGAATTTGAACTTTCGATGTAAAATCCGGAAGCTGAATTCAATCGATATTGAGCAAAGATTAAAATAAATCATACGATTAAAACGCATCGCACATTAAATCATACGATTAACTTGTATTACTATTAAAGAATCGACATTGGGTGGATTTGAACTTTCGATGTAAAACCCGGAAGCTGAATTCAATCAATATTGAGCAAAGATTAAAATAAATCATACGATTAAAAACGCATCGCACATTAGATCATACGATTAACTTGTATTACTATTAAAGAATTGACATTGGGTGAATTTGAACTTTCGATGTAAAACCCGGAAGCTGAATTCAATCGATATTGAGCAAAGATTAAAATAAACCATACGATTAAAAACGCATCGCACATTAGATCATACGATTAACTTGTATTACTATTAAAGAATTGACATTGGGTGAA